AGTTGGTGGTGCATGGAAGGAAAGATACTCGTGTAAGAGGGCGCATAGGGCTGCGCTTTGCGGCCCCGGAAGGTTGCCCGTCGTAGGGAGAGGAGTCCAAGCGAAGTCCTCGGGCGTGAGCGGGTCCAAAGCCTCCTCGTTGAACACGCGTGCCGAATCCCTTGATGAAGACGAACTGGCGGAGAAACCTTCGGACGGTGAGAAAGCCGCACATGTATCTTGTCCTTGAGTAGCATCCAGTGAAGAACGAGCCGGGCAGCGAAGTCTTCGAACGAAAGTTGAAGACTCCCGACATCCGCATATGCCTCGGAAGAAAGGGCGGTCGTGGCCACAACCGCTTCCGATGGTGTCGAGGGAGGTGTCGAGTTTCCCTCGGCGGCGCCTACTTTCCCTGACGGGGTTTCCCCTTGGTGGGGCAATGTGCAGCATCGTGGATGGTGCTGTTGCACCAAAGGCAATACCGGTACTTGAGGCGCGTGCGATAAGAGTTCGCCGAGAGTCCGTATTGTACCCAAGGTTGGTCGGCGGCTGATCCGGTGCTCGGTGTCGAGGTGGATTGAGTCTTCGTCTTGTCGCGGCCGTGGTTGTTGCGCGGCCGGCCACCATCCCGGGCAGCTGCCAACACTTCACCCTCGTTTGGTGTTGCAGCCTCGGAAGAAATAATGCAAGCCACCTTTGGCTTGAGCTGGGTGTCGCTCGTCGTCGCGGAAGATCGGCCTGCGTTGCGGGCTTCGATATTTGTCAGAATGATCCGTGACGCTGTGCTAAAAAGCTTGTYGGATGTGTCGAGTGTCTCTGCAATCTGCGTAAGCGCATTTTGCAGCGCCGGACACGAGCGCATGATAAACAAGTGCTTGATGGCGCGGAATGCGAGCGGCAGGTTAGGTGTGGAGGTGAGTCTTTGAAACTCGGTGATCCATTCCTGACTGAGCAGCGTGTTTTGATGGAGCTTGTTGAGCTTGTCCATCGCTTGCAGGTCGGGCGGCTCCACTTGGAATCGCTTGTGCCAGGCGTCRGTCAACTCCTGCCAAGTGAGCTTGGTGTGTAGTTCCGACACTGCTACACCGTGGCTGGTCAAGATGTTGTCCAGCCATGCTTGACACGCACCACCAGATCGGTGGTACAAGCACAGATGTCGATCGTTCACTGTCTGCTGCAGGTGGAGGATTTCCTCCTGCTGCAGAGCGCAGGTGGCCACGAGGTCGTGGGAGACCTGTGCAAGGGCTGACAGCCCTTTCTCAGTCTCCGGGGCCTCGTCTGTAGATGCCACTTCCACCCAACGTGCAGCCTCATCGCCGATCACGGTCTCCCGTGTGAACAGTCGTTCCCGCTGGCGTGACCGGTGTTCAGCTGCCGCCTGCAGGTCTGCCTCCTCTTGACGAAGTCGGTCCTGTTCCTCCTTCTGTCGCTTGGCCTCCTCCTCTTGTTCAAGCTGCTGACGTTCCTTGGCCGCGGGGGCGGCCCTATCGTTGGCCTCTTGAATGAATGCTGCCAGGCGTTCCTCATAGCTCAGGAGGGATTCCCCCGCCTTCCGGTCCATGGCCTTGGTCTGTGATCGAGTGAGCAGTGTCATGCACTGCTGTGCCCGAAGTCTGAAGAGTCACTCGAGGGCCAATCCGACGGACTGGCCCAGTGCCCGGACTGGAGGGGGAGGAACAGGTAGGGGGCAGACAGGTGGGAAGGGTAGGACAGATCCCAAATTGAACAGTTCCCTAATCAAGCAAAGAATAATAATTAAGAAAGAATTTAAATAAATCAAAATTCGAAAAGAAAAGACTGTCCAATACCACTGAGTGTCGAAGGTGATGCAGAACGCAATAGTAACCCTTTGGTGCTCAAACTGGCAGAAACAGAAGAGAAGTATCTTTACAGCTCAGAGTAGGAGTAGGTTGCAAA